TATATTTACTGAGAAAAATGGTGACGTGTTCAATACTTATTTTACCCGCTGTATATTGACACTGTGGTACTCTTTGTTTGGTGACATGAAGTTCGTGCATAACCGAGAGTATAATTGGCAGCCCTCATGCGTAAAATGTCGAGGTGGAGTTACGTTTCTGTAGGCGCGTGGGTGAATAGTATGATAGTAGATTTTGATGATGCACAGTGTAAATGTAAAAAGAAAAGGTTATGCAGAATGAGTCCTACAATAGAAATCAACACTTTTATTAAACCAGATTCTCTTTTATAAACTAAAAAACCCATTTGGCACAGTTTTGGGTACATTTGGCTAAACTGTGCCAAAATGCCATTTCCGCCTGGCACACTGCTCACTAAAACATTTGTGAAATTAATATACTTCAACTTATCCAGTCCTACTTTGTTACAATTTTTTTCAAGATGTAGTTGTATAAAATATAAGGGCATTCCTGGGTTTTCGCAAGAGTTTTCATTGTGTTTTGCAATGCTGATTTAAAAAAAATTTAGGCGAGGCTAAAAWAATTACTAATTTTCTTTATTTAATCACACTCAGGCACAGTAAGAGTTACAATAGTGGTTTCACTTAAGAAATTATCTTTAAGATCTTACCTTTACAGAGGTACCAAGAGTTAGCATTTAGAACTGTGGAGCTATTCTTGATTTATTTTGCTGTGTATTTTCAGGCAGAAATTACCTCTAAAACCCCTTAGGGCTACTCACTTCTGAGGTTTTACAAAAATCCCTTTTTTTTTTTTTTGCGTGTGAGCATTCACATATTTTAAATGTGACCTCCAACAGACTCCTGTGGAACACTTTTTATCACTAATGTGACCCACGTGTATGAAATGACCTGACCTCACATTCAGCTGCTGTTTACAGAAGTAAACATGGATGCTACATGTTAGCGTGTGGATTGTGAAGTTGTTCACTGATTAAATAATTATCTGACCTGTTGGTTTAGTTCAGTGTTGATATTTTAATCCATCGTCTGGCTGTCGGCTCCGGTGAAGCATTTTATTTTTGGAACAGGAGCGACGTGCTAAAACTAAAATATTAATCCCGTAACGTTAGTATTGATTCAGTCTTCTCAGACATCGTGTGTTTCTGAGTTCAAAACTTGGAAACCTGAATAAAGCACAGGAAAGCCAACCTAGTTCTCAGTTAAATGTTTATTCTCAGATCTAAAACCTCCTGAGACTGAAACAACATGGTTTATAACTCCTACATTAGTCTAGTAGGAAGGAGTGGGTCCCATGCACCCGAAAGATATATTTTTAACCTAACTTTTTGTAATCCTTAAGGTGTCTAGTAAATGGATTGTGTTGGCCCCAGAGCAAATTATTGTCCCAAATATGTTTTTATTGACCATCTTTAATGGCCGACCTAGATTTTCCATTGTGAATAATGAAAACCGTCCGAAAAATACGATACTTACCTTTTTTACATTGGTCCCAGCCTTCTGCAGGTCATTCACCAGGTCCCCGATGTGCTTCTGGGATTTTTGCTCACCATTCTTG